GCTCCTCTTTTCTAGGGCCACTGGGAATAGGTGATATTCATCAGCCACAGATAAAGACAACACATGTACTGGCTGCAGGGGCTGTCCTTCTGAGTCCGTGACTTTTATCCCTTTAGGCTCAAAATGGATATGTGCCCCGATCTTGGTGAGTAAGTCTCTACCTAGCAAAGGTGCGGGACTCTTAGGCACAACCAGGAAGGAGTGGGAAACCTGATGCCTTCCCAAGTCCACTTTCCTGTTGGTGGTCCAGGCGCACCTCTTAGTTCCTGTAGCTCTTTGGACTATGCTTGTGCATCCTGGCTTTAGAGGACCGCGAGCTTGATTGAGAACTGAATACTGTGCCCCAGTATCTACCATGAAGCCGGTGGGAGTCCCCTCCATGCACAGAATTATGCAAGACTCGGGGAGGGGAGCCGAGTCCCATCCCCGTCAGTTTCCATCTCCCAGGTGGAGGGTCCTGATAGGGCTCCCTCCTCCTTGTCTTCCTCTTCTTTGTGGGCACTCTCTCTTCCAATGCCAATATCTTTTGCACAGGGTGCACTGTTCCTGCGCTAGTTTAGATGGGCGGGGTCCTGCTCTCTGAAGCGACTCAGGGCTCCCTTTCACTCTGGCCAGGAATATTCTGGCCCTCTCCTCCCTCTGCTTCTTGTTCTCTTTTCTTTGAAATTCTCTGTCCTCTTTCCTATTTTTATCCTGCATCTCTCGTTCCTCCACCTCTCCCCCTGTCCTCCAGAGACTCCCTAGCATTAAAGACCTTCTCTGCTTGTTGCAGCATCTCTCTAATAGAAATCTCCCCCAGATCGTCCCACTTATGGAGTTTTCTCCTGATATCGGAGGCTGCCTGGTTAATAAAAGAGAGGACTGCAGCTGACCTGTGTTCCTCTGCCTCTGGGTTTATAGGGATGTATTGCCTATAGGCATCAAATAGCCTTTCCAGACACGTGGCTGGGCTTTCGGTTTCTGCCTGAACAATTGTTTTTACCTCAGCCAGGTTAGTGGGCCGTCTTGCAGCCACCTGGAGACCAATCATTAGCATCTGGCCTTAGACCCGAAGATGCTCCCTCCCTTCTGCCATCCCAAAATCCCAGTTTGGGCGTGTGAAGGGGAACGCTTCATCGATGGCAGGCTGAAGGGTAGTGGGCCTCCCATTTTCTCTGAGGACGTTCTTCCTGGCTTCATTCAGGATGCGTTCTCACTCTTATGTTGTGAAGAGGGTGCGAAGTAGCTGCTGGCAGTCATCCCACGTGGGACAATGGGTGTACATAATGGATTCTACCAAACCTATTAGACACTTAGGGTCTTCAGAAAAGGGAGGATTTTGGGTCCTCCAATTGTAGAGATCGCTAGAGGAAAATGGCCAGTATTGATACTGCTGAACTCCATCTGCGCCGCCAACCATTCGGACGGGGAACTGGCATGGCTCCTCCTGTGGTGGAGGATGGAGCTTCCCCCACTCGGTCCCTGTTTCGTCGAGACCTTAACTGCATCCCTCCTGCCTCCCCAGGTCGTCTATCCTCTCCTGTAGAGGAGTCTGGGGAGGGGGCAACCACTGGATTCCCATGGGGACCCCCGGCTCCATGCCCCCCTCCATAGGCCGACCTCGGCTCCCCCTCTCGTGGAGCTGCATAAGGTGGTGGCTGTTCAACGGGCAAAGGGGGGTAGAGGGAGGAGCTCTTGGGGATAACTGATGGAGCACTAGGATCCCCGCCTCTGTGACTGGAGGACTTCAAGCCTTCCTTGGTCACCATGATGGAGACTTTTGGTGGGCAAGCATGAGGCTTTCTCACCAAGAGGGGCTTTAACCAGGGCGGGGGATCCTCTGCCAGATTCTCCCACAAAAGGATATAGGGGAGTTGATCTGGGTGGTCCTCTGGGTCAGGCCGGATAATGACAGCCTTGACCTTGCCGATGGTGTCCAGGGAAAGGGACCCCTGGGTCGGCCAACCTACTCCAAAGGTGGGCCATTCAATCAAGCACAAAGTGCCTTACCCTTCCTGATGCCGGGGCCCAATTTCAAAGCCAGCTCCTTCACCTCTGAGAAGTGAGAGAGGATTAAACCTTTAGGAGTGGCCTGAGTCTGGCCCATGGTGGTGGTCACAGAAGAGAGAGAGAGATGAAAAGGGAGAAGTGAAGATGCCACTCTAAACAATGATGGCCAGTGGGTATGCTTGTGGACGGGTGCCTGTCATTGCCCAGTTTTTCTTCTGCGGGGTACGTGAATTTATCTGGGATTCATGCCTGGGACCCCCTTATATTTTCATGGGAGTCTTTCAGCAGCGAGCGCCCTAACGGCTCTTATTTGCTCGACCCATGCCCGCGGGGCTTTCTCAGTGGCTGGAGAGAGGGATGGAGAGGAGAGGGAGATACAGATAAGGGGTCTTGTCTCCACCCGTGCGGGCAGTCAGGGTCCGCCAAGAGGGCTAAGAGCCTTTGGCTTACATCAGGGAGTAGCCCTGACCAGAAAACCTCAATTGCTCTTTCACCTTTAACAGTCCCACGCGAAGACTTAGACTGAGAATAAAAGGAAGGAAAAGGAGGAATGGAAGGTTTAAAATAGGGAGCGTAGAGAAAAATACAAAACCAGACCTCCCCCCCCAGTAAGACAATTAGCATGACCATCAAGCACGCACACCACATTGAATCACACTTGTGCGGACCGGTCCTCCTTTCACTCAGACGCGCGCTACACTCACCACTCTCACTTTCAAGATCCCCGAGACTTCTCGTGATTCTCCCAAATGGCGTCCACTTGGACTGCCTCAGAGTGACTAGCTCGATTTTTTCTTCCTCAGGCACCAGATTTGATGGCAGGCTTCCTTCCTAGGGTTGAGACACTCGGACCCTAGAGCCAGGGCTGGTTACCTGGACTTTCACCTAGGTGCTGGGACTCAAACCTGGACTTCCTCACTCGGGATTACTAACCCAAGACCAGACATGAGATGGCGACTCTCGCTTTACTGTGGATTTTACAGACACGAGGGGGCAACCCTCGAATTACACTGCCCTGTCCGGAGAAAAGAAACTCTGCCTCCGTTTGTCCTTTGTTCCCCCAGAAGCCCCCCCAAATCTGGGACGAGCCCCCAAAATGTTAGGGTCCGTGACTCGGTGGGTCTCTTCTGTAGAACAAATGCACGAGTATGGAGATGCAAAAATCAAGCAGAGTTTTATTAAACCAGCTAGCTGGTGCCGACTGTCCTTCCAAGACATGCAGGTCTGGTTGGAGCGATCGACCCTGAGGCAATTTCAGGTAAAGATTATATAGGCTCCCACAACCATTACACAAAAGCCTGTGCTTATACAACCAATAGTTTCAAAGCAAGCATTTCACAAACCAATAACTTCAAAACAAGAAAAATGTTACAACTCCCTTCAGGTATCTCATTGGGGAGGGATGGGTGGTATGTGCCTGGCGCGACCCTTCCCTGTTATCTTGTGTAAGCAGACATGCCTACGTGACACGACACAGATCAGACAGGTCAGACTCCGGGGACTGCAGCACTTGCCCCTATCTCCAGATGCCTGTGTCTCCAGTTGAGTTAATTGGTTACAAGCAGTAAATTCAAACAAGTAAATTCAAGCAGTAAATTCAGACAAGCAGTAAATTCCTCTTTCCCTAACAGTGTAGAAATAAGAACAAGAGCCAGATCTGCAACTGGAAAGGAAAGTGTCCTTTATTCAAGCAGCACAGTGAATGGCAGAAGGTTTTCTGCAGAAAGAAAGCATCTGCTTCTAATGAAGGGGGGTGGGGGTGAGTTTAATATAGGAATTCTCCTGAACACAGATGCAGGCATTTACTTGGTGCTAGGGTCTGGTGTCTTGGGTGACTGAAGGTCTTCCTCCCAAGATGATTTTCTCATGCAGAGCAGGCGAGTTATCTAGGGCACTAAAGGAAATAGGTTGGCTCCACAAACAGCCTCTTTCAGTTCTGCCAGGGACAGTTGATAAGGCCTGAACAAGGCCAGCCTGACAGTTTAGGGTGGCCACTTTAAGGGATTTATGATTTTATGCCTTCCCTAATGAGGCTTATGGCTCTTGTACAATTCACACACTCTTTCAGTCTAGTGAAACAAAAAAGTAAAATGATACAACCCTTTTCTAGAAAAAAACAACATAGTGACATGGCGTCTGTGATGAGACTTAAGCATGAAGGGACACACTAGGATGAGAGGACTTGAATAGCCTAGGGGTGCAGACAATGCAAAATGTGTGTTTGCAACTTGAGCAAAAAGTTAAGGCTTTACTTTGCAATGAGAGGATTCGAGAGAGCAGAGAAAATATCTAAAAGGGTTTGGTCTTTTAACTAAAATTACCCAAATTATTGCTGAGGAATCAAAGAAAGTCACATTCTCCTCCAGCACCAATTTCATTAAAATAATCTGAAAGGCAAAATAATAATGCTATAGCTATCAGACCTATACTCTGTCGTTCAATGCAACACCATATGGAATAGTAAAAAGGACAGGAAATTTGAACAGCAGGGCTCGTGAAAACAGCTAGACAGGACAGGAAGCTAAAAGAATCTCCACAGCTGGCCAGACAGAAGACTGCTGGCCGCATTTCATAATCCCAGGCTGTCAGGAGGTAAGGCAAGACAGATGGAGGCCAGCAGACGTCGGTGAGAAACTCTGAATTAAGCACCCGGACTGGAGAGAGGTCGCGTAAAGGGCTGGAGCCATTATGTGTCTCCGTCTGAAACTCATTCTTCTAAGGCCTGGCACCAGGGGCTCCTTTGTCTATAGAAACTGCCAGGGAGACCAGCTAGCGCTGCAGTGGGCAGGCACCTGGTTGCCAGGCAACCCTCAGCGGCAGGCGCTTCTCCGACCTCCTTATCTATGGTTTTGCTGGAGAGGCGGCGTCTAACGTCACTGCACGGCGCCGGAAGCGTAAACTGCGAAGCGCCCGTTTCCTGGATCCTGGCGGACGCGGCGGGAGTGCGGTGTTGTCGCTGAGCGGGGCGCAGGCCCTACCCAGGCGGTGGCGTGTGCAAGCCGAGGCGGGTAGACGGGCGCGGCGGGGTGGGGCGCGGGGCTCGGCGTGCGGGTCCTCCCGGTGCCGGCGGCTTCTGTTCGCTGTTTTGTTGCTAGAGCAGCCTGAACCCGTTGCTAAGGACCTGGAGCGCGGGAGTCCTGAGTTTCCAGCATCAGGCACTGCTTGATTGGCGTCTGCCCACTCCATGCCCCTATTTTCTAGTGTCTTCTTTTTGTCCTCTGGTTTCTACACGCTTCCTCTTTTCCAACTTGATCGCCGTCCTGCAGCTGAACTGGCCTTAGGTATTTGGAAATGGGTGCGGCTGGGGATGGTAGAGATGTTGGAAAGGTGGAAAGCAGAGTTTAGAAGAGATTGGGATGTGTGACCTTTCGCCCCATGTCCGTTGGGCTTTGAAGGAGCTTTAGAGATGGAACACAACTTCTTTAGCTGAGCGCCTTTTGAACATTTGGAAGTTTCTAGATATTTCAAGGGGCCATCTCACCCAGAGGCCTCAGCAAACAGTTCAGTGCAGTGGTCTGAGATAACGGAGGGCGGGGGGCTTGCTATAGAGAAAAATTATTTTATATTTGTAAAACAATGACAGTATGGTTTCCTAGCATTGGTTCAGGTGCCCTCAGAGCCCTATAAGTGACTTGCCGTGCCCAGTGAAACCGAGGGAAAAACAATGGAGTTTTGTTGCCTTTTTTTGCTGTGACATTGTGACATAATTTTGGCATTCCATATTTATTTATGGATTCTTGTATCTGGAATCCTAAGAATGAGATGATTTTGTGGTGATTTGGATAGGATTTATAATGAAATGCTGTTCCCCTCTTCATTTATTTCTGTGACTTCTCTGCCCTTGTCATGTTACTGAAAAGCACTCAAAAAAACGAATGAATTTTTTTTTTCTTTTATAGACAATACTTATCAGTCATGAGCTTCCAGGGCTATGCTGTTTTTAAGAACTTAGCACACTTAGTTTGACTTTTCAAGTAGAGAATGATATTTTTAATTTTTTTTTTTATGTGTATGAGTGTTTTACCTGCATGTTTGTTAAGTGTACCATTGTGCAATGCCTGTGGAGGCCAGAAGAGGGCATCAGATTTCCTGGGACTGGAGTTAAGACTCTTGTTTGTTGCTATGTGGGTGCTGGGAACCTGGGAACCGAATCCGGGTCCTCTGCAAGAGCAACCATTACACTTCATCACTGAGCAGTCCTAAAGAGTGATATTTTTAACAAGTGGAAAAGTGAGTTGTTTTCTAAAGAAATTCCCTTACTTGGGCATTTTGAATGTGTGTGTAGAAATGTGTTTTTGTTGCTAAAAATTACATACGGGTATTACACATAAAATCTACCTTGTTGGAGGCTGGGCAGCCAGCCCAATGGGTAAAGTCCTTGCTTGTGTAAGAATGAGGACCAGCGCCTATTTACACTTAAAAGCCAGGTACTATGGAGCATAGCTGTAGCCTTAGCACTGGTGGTGGCAGGGGACAGAAACAGGTAGATCCCAGGGACTTGCAGACCAGCCTAGCTGACTCCTCAAGCTCCAGGTTCAGTGAGAGACCCTGTCCCCAAAAACCATTTAGAGCAATAGGAGACACCCTTTCTCATCTCCATGGATTCCCCCACCTACACACCCATGTACATGCCCATATACACACCCATATACATGCACATACAACACAACTGCACACACACAAACTACCTTGAATATTTAAAACCTTTGAGAACTCAATTTTTTAGTGTGTTTAAAAGCCTTTCAAATAAAGAGATTCAGTAGCTTTTGAACTCATTTAAAATATAAAGTAAGGGGACTGGAGAGATGACTCAATGGCTAAGAGCACTGCCTGCTCTTGCAGAGGATCCGGGTTTGGTTTCCAGCACCCACATGGCTACAAGCTGTCCATAACTCCAGTTCCACGAAATCTGACGCCCTCTTCTGACCTCCATGGGCATTGCATTGTATGACATGGGCATGCTTGCATACATGCAGATAATACTCACACAGGTAAACTAAAAACAAAAATAAATTATTAAAAACTATATATATATATGCATATAAAGCAGTGCTGGGGAGATGACTCTGGTGGTAAAATGTGAGTTCTTAGATTCCCCAAATCCTTTGATTAGCCGAGTGGATGTGGTGACCCCCCCTGGTATCCCAGCATGTGGGAGAGAGACGGGGAATCCCTGGAGGAAGCTGACTAACTAGACTGACAAAAAAGGTGAGCTCTGAGTTCAGTGAGACCCTGCCTTAGTGTATAGATGGAGAGCTATTGAAAAAGACAACCATCTTAGACCTCTACTTGTGTGCGTACACATACATATGAACTTGCATACACACACCACACACACAACTGGTAGATAGGACTGAAAAATGTGCCCTATTTTATATGGCTAACTGCACGTTTTCTGTGTGTACTTGGGCATTTATGTGTCCTTTTCACTAGAATAGCTGCTGCAATTTATCGTGAAAATAAATTGTACTTAATGAATCTTCAAGTTAATGCAACTCAAAGTGTTAAAGTTGTCAAAAAGAAGAAAGCATTTTGTCACATTGACCACACTGTTGTTGTTAATGCTATGTAAGTCTCTGTTCTTGAAGAGATACCTCTGGTAATCAACAGAAAAGGAGGAGAGGGTTTTTTTGGGGCACATATTCTGGAGGGTTCAGGCCATAGTCACGTGGCTGTTTCTTTGGGGCCTATGGTGAAGCTGCACATTACTGTAGATGTGCATCACAGAGGGAGGCTGGTAGCTAGGCCTTTAACTCCTGAGCCTTTGGGGGAATCTTATCCAAGTTGGAGCATACCATTGTAAAGAAAATTATAGTAGCTAAAAGTCACCGAACCTAACTGTATGGCAAATATTCCTAGTCTTTGTTAATGCTTAGATTACTGAAATTATTCCTAATTAGAGAGTGGAGGAGTTTAACAAAAACTGCAGTCATCATTCTCTCTGTAGCAGCTTCTGGAACTAGTTCTGAGTCTGGCAGAATAGTAAACACTTGAGTGATCACAGAAATGCACTAGAGCAGGCTAACATGTTCAAAGCTTGTGTTAGCTTATTTTAGTTACAATCTGATAACTTTAATGAGGTTTTCATTATTACTAGAAAATGCCTTGGGGAGGAAGGTAAAATGATACGAGAAAGACTTCTACTGATAGTTGAGACTATGAGATCAGTATATTAAGGGACAAAAACTGGAATTTAAAATATTTGTGTAGAAATGATCTTACATTCAGTTCATCTTGGCATGGCATATGAATGTACCATGTTTGAATATTGCCTAAACTCCTGTTTCATGGACCTTTTGAAGATTTTTGATTTGTCAAGTAGGTTAAGCTAGCCATTTCATGACAGGACTCATTTAAGAACCTATCAGTGTTTGTCCTGCAGAAGAGAAACCCAGGGAGTTCAGAATCAGTATATCCTCACACATTTGAAAAGCCCCCTTTCGGTACGCAGTCTCAGATTTGAACCCAGAGCGTCTCCCTCACTACACCCATAAAGTTGAGTGTTGACAGTGGGGAAAAGAGATAGTGATGATCCCAAGATTTTTAGTTTGGGAAACAGGAAACTGCTCACATCTTAAATTAACAGGTAAGGGGCTGGAGAGATGCTCATCAGGTAAGAGTACCTGATGTTCTTGCAGAGGACCCAAGTTTGGGTCCCAGCACCCAAGTCAGGCTGCTCACAGCCACCTATTACTCCATCTGCAGGGGCTCAGGTGGCCTCTTCTGGACTCTGCAGGCACCTGTGCTCACACAAATCTTTTTTAAAATTGCCAAGTGATATGTTACTTCCAAAGAGTAATCTCAGCTTTAGTTGTGTTCAGTTCGAAGAGCTTGTAGTAAACTGCGTAGGAGCGTTCATGGTGTCACTGGCAAAGTAGACCACCACTTGCAGATAGCATTTGGTGCTTAGGACTTGAGAGGAATCTACAGGCCAGAGAAGATGGAAGAGGTAGGAGGTGGAGCAACCGTGCTTCCAGACATCCGCTTATCTAATGTCGCCAGAAGACTGCAAGTGAATTCCTTGTATTTGTCAAACGAAAACTTCTGTATATCTTTTCTTTCAGAGAGTAGCTGTAAATTACAAGGAGTGCTCATACCCTCTTTCGTAGTTAAATATCACTGTCACATTTCGAACCTTTTTTTCTGTGTTGTTTTTGCTGTTACTGAAATTGTTGAAGTTGATACAATTTTGTATCTTTAGTTGGCTCCATGCTGTAATTTTCTGTCTGTCCTCTGTGTTTTGTGTGCTCACATTGTTCCATTTTATTGCAGGGGTGGAAGGGAAGTGATGCAGAAATCAGACTGCCCTGGAGCTGTGCATTTGAGAAGCAGAGTGACAGGTACAGAGCTTTGCCTTTCCTGAGGAAGGGGCCAGGTTGGCTGCGGAGACAGTCTGCGTTTCACATGACTTCGGGATCAGGTTTTTGCATTCATGTCTTGTATTGATGTTGTATTTTCTCTAGGTAACTATGATCAAAGAGCGTCCTCAAGTGCACAGATGAGACACCGGACTCCAGTTCAGCGGAGCAAATCCTCAACCAGGTCTCAGGAGCCTGCAAGAAGACTTCATCCTCGGCCAAGTGATAAACTTAACCCCAAAACAATTAACCCGGTGAGTACAAAAAAAGAACCATTCTGAATGCCATCATGGGTCTCCTTTTTGCTGGTTTTGAGCTAGTGGAGTTAATTTTGTTATGTCTCATTGAATTCATTGGTGAACTCTGCAAAGCGTGAATTGCATGCCAGCTTTATTTTCTGTTTTCTGTGCCGCTCCCTCATATCGGTGAATTAGCTCGTATTTGAGGGTGGGCTGGTCTACTTACAGGTGTTTATACTTGCATAAAGTCCTCCAACCATTCCTTAATGTTCTATAAATTCACTCCACCAGAACGCCTATTACAATATTAGTCTCCTTTTGCTCTCTCAACGCAGCCTAACAAAATAGAACATTTTTGCATATACAAATGCATAAATTGTGTGAAAATGAATTTTCCAGAAATCGGCATGTCTGTGTCACAGCCCCAGGTGTTGTGTAGCCCATGCTCAGCTGTGTGGCCATGGTTACATTGCTTTTAGCTTTGAAGACTGAGAATAGCTGATGCTCTTGACTGATTATGGTGGCAGTCAGAATATGACAAGTGAAACCCAGTGTATTCATTAGCATTAGAGATGGGACCATGGCCGGCTGGCTCACCCTGCACCTTGTCACTCCCACTTGCACGTTGTCTCTTCTTTATGCTTTCCATGCACTCTTCCTTCCTCAGCACCTCAAGATTAGCAAATGGAGGGGGCTCTGACCAGCATTCAGAATGGTTCAGCACAGGAATGCAAGTTTGGAATTAAGTTTTTTTTTTTCTTCCTGAAAACAATGACAGAGTCGCTTAAAAACTTCGTCCCTACTCCGAGTAATAATTCATAGCAGTAAGAATGCTTTACTCACCTGGCTCCAGTTCTTCCTAGAAAGATGTACAATTTTGTTAAAGTTCCATTCATATAATCCTATCAGTAAGTCACTTAAAAGTTTAACTTCTGTACGTGATTTTTTTTTTTTTTTTTGATACAGGATCTCCCTGTAGCCTCAACTGGCCTGGTACTCGCTATGTAGACAAGGCTGGCCTCGATCTCATAGACAGCCACCTGCTCTGCCTCCCAAGTGCTGGGATTAAAAGTGTTCGTTACCATAGCTGGATATGGACATGACCTTTAAAAATAAGCTCTTTATAGCTTTAAGATAAGTTAACAAATTTGTATTTTGTAATTTAAACAACTACATGTTTTTGTTCAGAATACTGCCTATTTGCTTTTTGTTATTAAATTCTAAAGTGTCTCTCCATTGTAATGAAAGTATATATTTCAATTGTTCAATTTGTGATGACCATCTCTTAAATCATCACTGTAGGTATAGAATCAGTCTCTTCTCAAAATAATGTATAGCAAAGCTATAATGAGTTTTGTAATCTGGGTATGTTCAGATCTATGTTTATGAGACTTGCTCAAGATCTTTGACTGTGCAGATCCAAATTCTTTGCCTCATAGAAGCACAGTGCCAGTTGAGAGAAGTTATATGGATTCTCTGGCTTGCACAACATCGAATCTTGGCTGGAGGGCATGTAGGATATACTCTGGTGATTAAAAACAAATCTACTCTCCCTGTTCTTCACACGTCTTCTTTATCGAACCCTCACCTTGAAATGCAGGAGGTGGAAAGAGTGGAAAGGCTGTCCATCCTCGGTTTCGTTCCCCGGCAAACCTCTGAACCGAGTTAGAGGTTAGGAAAACAAGTGCACTGCTTGGTTGTGGGATGTTCTCAGTCACGTGGCTGAGCAGGATGTGAAACAGCACTGTTTTCTAAGTCAGAGCGGTTCTTTGATCCCAGCAGGATTAAAATTGATTACATATCACTAGGTGGAAGAGGGGGTAATATCTTCCTTTTTCAATTTCAGTTTGGTGAACAGTCCCGAACCCCTTCTGCATTTGCAGCTATTTACTCCAAAGGAGGCATTCCCTGCAGGTAAATCAATACAATGTGTAGCTGACTGTTCAGAATAATTGAATAAAATCAATACATTGTTCAATTTAAATTTATTGAAAATTTTATTTACCATACCAGTGAGATTGAAGTAAAGGTGACTTCCTGCTTCGACTGTTGGATTGGTATAGATCCCTGGACATTGTTGAAAAAGGCCACCTTAATTCCAATATGTAATTATTGAGCTCTATAGTAAACAAAAAAGTAGTTGAAGAAATTGAATGAGCTACTTTGGCACAGTCTTTGCAAGCATTCATATGGTTCTGTAAGTTGCAAATAAAAATATCCTATCTTGTTAAATGTTAAAGTAAAAGTTGGCAGCATGTGCAGTAATTTCTTAGTAAGCACATGTGATTGTATTTGCTGCTTTTTAGATACATTCTTCAGAGAATGTTCAGTTTTATCCGGTTCTGCATGATGGAAAATTTTATTTACATCATGGAAAGCATAATTACATCAGTTCATCTGTTCTTTTTTTTTTTGGTTCTAAAACTTTACAAGTGCAGTTTTTTAATAGTATGTTCAAATTTAGAATGAAAAATAAGCTCAAGAGCTGTTCTTGAATTTAGTATTACTTAGATTCTAAATTGAATTCTAATTGAAGGGTTAGGGACATAGCTCATTTGGTGGAGCATCTGCCTAGCATGCATGAAGCCCTGGGTTCTATCTCCAGCGCTACATGAACTGGGTGGAGTCGGGTACACCTTTAATTCCCACAATAGAAGCAGGAAAATCAGAAGTTCAAGGCCATACCCAGCTCCTTAGTGGTTTTGAGGCAAGCCTGGTCTACACGAGTCCCAAGAAAAAGAAGTCTAAATTGAAGCTTTGTTTTATTTTAAAGCTCTTCAATGTCTTCTACTAGAGTAATTGGGTTTTGCTAAAAAAAACTGTGAAAACTATTAGCATAGCAAGGCCTCTTGCTGTTATGAAGATCACCGGAAGGTAGAGCTTGAGTGGTTAGGAATGGTCAGTGAATTTGCTCTTGTGATAGTGGTGATATATTTGTATCTGTTTGTTTGTTTTGTTCTGTTTTGTTTTCTGAGACAGGGTCTCTGTAGCCCCAGCTGGCTTGGTACTCTGTGTAGACCACACTGGTCTTGGTCTCACAGAGATCTGCCTGCCTCTGACTCCTGAAGGCTGGGACTTAAGATGTATACCACCATTACTGGTAGTAGTGATATATTTTAAATTATGCTTCAATAACTGCTTTGGGGGTTAGGATAGACAACCAGAGACCCTACTTCAGGGACCTCTTGTGACCTCAGAGGGCCCACTTCACCGACCTGGCTTCAGTTTTCTTCTTTTTCTTATATACTAAACTGATTTGCCTTCAGATTATTAGTGTTAAGATTAAATGAGCTCTGTTAAAGTATTCTTTATAAAACATGACCATTTCTGATTTTTTCATGGTTTCATTTTGTGTAGGTTACCTGTTTTATAACTATGTCTGAGAGATCAGTGAAACATGTACACCAAGATTCACAGAGAGTAACATGCTTAAATGCCATAACTAAGTTTAATAGGAGCTTGCTGAACAATTTTGTGGAAAAGGAATTTAAAGGCTTCTGTGCATTGGTTTGTCTGTCCGTAGCATCATGATATTATTGTATATTACAAAGTGATTCTAGTATGGTCCTGCTCTGTGAAGAGGGTTATGTTACAAGCTCACTCCCTGCTTGTATATATGTGCTGCAGGGTCTTTTCTTAAATTCACTGACTTTTGTATTTTAGATTGGTACATGGCTCAGTAAAGCACAGATTACGGTGGGAATGCCCTCCTGAAATTCTTCCATTTGATCCTCTTCTAATTACTTTAGCTGAGGTAAAATACCCCATTTCTCCTGAATGTTAATAGAAAAAAAACTATTTCTAAAATAGCACTGTTATTTTGTAGCTTATAAGTAAATCTCATTCTGTACTTTTGAGATAAAGATCAAGCAGTAGGCACTAAAATGTTGGGGTCCCTAAGGAAGTAACTGTAATTGTTTCATACATACATACATGCATATATATATACATGTATATTATAAATAATGGATTAACCAGTTTTATAAACATGGAATTTGTATAAATTAAGTGAATGATGCATTGCTTACTTCCAGATGACTGTGATTAGTACTAGGTTAATAATCCAGAGCTGTGCAGCTAGATTCAAACAATGACTCCTTATGTCTACAACCAGTTTTGATAATGTGGTGCCTTTTGGGTAATTGATACTAAATGCTACTGAATTCCCATATGTCCCTTTAAGGAAAGCTCCAGCTGTGAGTTTAGCTGTGTGTTTCTCATAGTGTATCATGGAACTGTCCTGAGAGACTTCTTCCAAAAGCTTCTGGTGGGATCTGTTATGTAGTGTAGCATTTTTGTAATTTAACAAAAATGTCAGGAAGAAAAATGTTGGCAGAGTCTTAGCTTCAGATGAATCAGCAATATCTTTAAAGAGTTCAGGATCATTTGTTGTCATTAAGAAGCAAATGTTTAAAATTGATGATATTTATCCTGTTTAAGCAATGTGATATTTGTAAAACAAATCAGAGTAATAATAAGTAATAATCTAAGTGAAAACATGTGAAAGAACTCTGGTGTTTCATTTACTTAAAGGAGTATTTACCTTTCCTATAAAAATTTTGGGTGAGATTAAATGATAGTAGAAAAAAATTAATTATTATTGGGTGTTTGAGACAGAGTCTCCCTGTAACCCCAGCTGGCCTGGAATTGCCTATGTAGACTAGGCTGGCTTGATCTATGTGCCTGCCTCTGCCTGGTACTACAGGCATGTATTCTATCATGCCTGGCAAGAAGAAAAAATTTCCCAATGAAGATTTTAAAAATTACAATGATGACATCAAATTCTCTTGGTTCCTCCTATAGAATTTTAAGTACATTTATTCATTTCTGTGAATTTACAGAACTTAACAGTTACTGTGAACAGTAACTTTTCTGTTACTTCTTGTTGTAACAGAGAATGTTGATTTATTTTGGTTTATAATGTATTATATGTATTATAAAAATGTATTTTTTAATGGGTAGCCTAAATTTGATGAAAGCCCTTTAATTTGACACTAGAGATTCTGCAGTGACATTTCTTTAGTTTTCTTTTTTCACTTTAGATCTCTTACAAACAATAGCAAACTGTGTTTTAGACTAATCAAACTAGTGGTGACTGCATATTCAAACTAATCCTAGGGGACACATGGTGCTTTAGTTTAAAGAGGTTCTGACTTTATTCTACATAAAATCTCCTGTTTTCTTTTACGTTTACTTACTTATTCATTCATTTGTGTGCCTATGTGTATGTGTGGGTGTGTGTACCTTTCCATCTTCAAAATGAACATGATAATAGGTACTGTTGGAATGATAGACTGTGTTTATCTTACTTCCCCATGCTTGGTGACATCGTTTTCAAAAACATGATAACACAGGAAAGTGGATGCTTGCTCACTATTTGGAGGCAGATACTCAGGTCAAACAGACAAAGCATTTGGAAACTAGTGTTTCTGTGCCTGACGTTGCTGCTGGTTTAAGTCAGATGTCCCCCCCCCCCTTTTTTTTTGACTAGTAATTGATTAAGTCATAAAGTGCTGTCAACTTGTTTTCTGGTATATTTAGGCAGAAAGACGCAGTGAGAAATTCTGTGCACATTTTTTTCCCCCCTGGATTTTCAAATTGTAATCTACTGGGAAAAACAAAGCACTTAAATTGTAACAGTGGCTTTCACCTTAGTGTGGGCTTTGCTATCTAAACATCTTAATACATACCCTAAATAGGAATGAAGGATATTTTAGGAACTCATTGAACAAGTTGAAGGTCGAATACCAAGGACCACCTGAGGGATGCTTAGAAACACACCGAGCATTTTGCTGTCTTTCAGACAGTGTTTAGCATACACGGTGATTTCACAGTCTAGTGACTTTTTCTTCTTGTTTTCATTCATAAGTTGCTTTACTTTCCCTCTACCTCTCCTTTCCCTTTTTCCTTCTGTGCTTTTTAAAATTTTTTTTCTTTTTTCTTTAGTTTTCTTCTCCTTTCTGTTTTTCCTTTTAGTTTTTTATTTGATTATCTTTTATATGTCTCTTAGTTAGGCAGTTTCTGTATATAATTGAAATTTTGCATTATTATTTGGAAAACAGTCAAACTTTTGATTTCACTTCAGCTAGAAGGATTAAGTTTTTCTGATGTTAAGATAATAAAATGATAGTGAATCATGTTTTGTTTTGTCTTGGCAGGGTCTGAGAGAGACTAAGCATCCATATACTTTTGTGTCAAAGGAAGGCTTTCGGGAATTGCTCTTGGTCAAAGGCGCTCCTGAAAAGGCTGTACCTTTGCTACCTAGACTGATCCCTGTGCTGAAGGCAGCTCTGGTATGTCATTTATTTCACTGGACTTCTTTTATTTCCAATCACACGATTTAGATGAAAACTGATTCATGCAGAATATTGGATGCTCCCTTGCACTCCCATTTTATGTACAAATAGTTCTTTACCTGTGGTTTTGACATGTATTGCACTCAAATCACTGTTACTCTGGGCCTGATGACTGTGCATTTAAAGTTCCCTTTAGAGAATATACTAACTGTATTGTAGTTAAAAATAAACATTTGAGTAATTAGAGGAAATAATGAACCTCAAAGAAGTCCATTTGTATATTATTTGCTAGGTACATTTTAGTTAATGCTTTAGTCTCACTGAAATCTTTTTTTTTTTTTTGCCCCAGGATATGCTGCATTAGTTTATTTCTGAGAATTGCTGTTGATTGATCATCTTCTAATGTTTAAATGTTTACTCTTCCTTCCCCACCCCCTGCTTGCCCTTTTCCTAACACACCCCCTTTCATTCTCCCCACCCCCACCCCAATTCTTGTACCATACCTGTCCCTGCAGGGCCATTTGGATGATGACGTGTTTGAAAGAGGGCTAAGTGCACTGGTACAGCTGAGTGTTGTTGTTGGACCATCTCTGAATGACCACTTGAAACACTTGCTCACCAGTGTGAGTACTGTAGAGATTAGAGCTGCTTGGATATATGGTCTTCATAATTTAAGACTTCAAATTAATCAGTAAACTGTCTTAAAGCCTTCAAAAAAATCTATCCCCTTTATTGAAAAGTAGTTTTCTTGTCATGTCAGTAAAATACTTATCAGAAACATCCTAAAAGTTGGAAAGATTTATTTTGGCTCAGAGTTTCACAGGTGTCAGTCCTTCATGTCAGGAAGGATGTGGTAGAGTGGAGCAGGTTACATCATATGAACAGGAAACAAACTGAGACAAGAAGGGGAAAGGATACTACATCTCAGTAACCTACTTCCTCCAGAGGTCCCACCCCCTACTCTTTTCTACCTCCCAGTAATGCTATCATTGTAGGAAGCCAAGGAGGATTAATCCAGTCATTGGTCAGAGCCCTCATGATCTGACACTCTGTGGAAACAACCTCATAGACAAACCCCAAGGCCTGCTTCATTTACCTAGGCTCTTCTCTGTCCAGTCTGGTTGGCAATCAGTGTTAGCATTTACCCTTGCCAACAAGTGCAGATCATACTTTATAAATCATGAAATATTTTAATCAGTGGAGAGTGTTTCTTTAATATTCTCCTTTTTATGGAAAGGGCCTATAAGAGCTGACTTTAGGTTTAAAATAAAAGTAAATAAAACTTGAAATAAAACTTACTGAGAAGTATAGCTATTTACTGCATATTGATTAGCTATGAGCTAGAAGCCCTGTTCACACAGCTTTTTGTGTGATTATGTCTCACCAAAGCCATTCATTACTTTGGTTTTGTTTTTCTTTTTCATTTTGAGATTCTCAGTGCATATATGTTACATTAAATTTATTACAGAAGATGCAGATTAGAATGTGCTGATTGAGAAGCACAGTGAACAGAGCCCAGGGTGCTGCAGCCAGAACCTCTGCTACCCCCACCCCGGGGAGTGCAGATAGCGCTGGCTTCTTCCAGCAGCAGTGCGTGGGAGCATGCATGGAGGGTTACCAACAAAAATTGGGAGTCCAGGATTTATTTTGGTGTCTGTCACTTAAGCATGGTGTCTACATGTGTGCTTGACAGTGGTGTGTAGCCTCTTCAGAATGTAGCTGACATTCTGTGGCCCAAGGCCCCCACCATAAATCACATGTCAGCATAGACTGTCTGGTATAGCTTAAAGTCTTTAGGTTGACACAGACACTCTTTTCTGGTAGGGCATTCTAAGAGCTTTGAACCTGCCCTTCAGGAAGTAGGGACAAGGGCCAGTCCTGCCTGTAAACTTCCTAGGCTGACAGGCCTTACTATGCAGTACACAGTGCTATGAAATAGTCCTGCTGGGTTGCTTTCATGTATAGGACGAAGAATACCGGAAACCAGCTTATAGCACAGGCCTTTTAAGTGCTTGATGAGTGGTGAAGTTTTGGCTGGGCTGCATTTGTTTCCAAAACATTTGCCTAAGAGAAGTAATAGTTGAAATGTCTAGGTTTTTGGGATACAAACTTTTTGTTTGTTTGTTTTTTGTTTTTGAACCAGGGTCTCACTATGTAGCCCTGGCTGGCCTAGAACTTGCTATATAGACCAGGCTGGGCTCACACTCACAGAGATCCACCTGCCTCAGCCTCCTGAGTGTTGGGTTAAAGGCATCAAAGCAGTTTGACTATCTATAAACAGTACTGCTTCCCTATTAACCACTGTGATTCTGTCTTCATTCATCTATGCTCTCTTCTTAAACAATAGTCTACCTTTCCAACTGTGGCCTATTAGGACATACCCAGTAATGGGTGGTCTTGTGGCTTCTAGTCTGATTGCTCTGTCAGTCACTATTACTGAATTATTCATGTAAATGGTCTGTTACTTTTCCTCTCTTCTCTTATGGTTGGGTAATACGTGCTTTAGAGCTGTAACTTTCTGTTACGGTCTGTGTGTTCGTGCATGTGACAGAATGGAAAAGTATGCCATGTTTTAGAACACTTGCTTTTTTTGTGTGTGCACGTGTGTGTATGTGTGCATATGTGTATGTATGCATGTAGAGGCTACAGGACAACCTCAGGTGTCATTTTCAGAAATGCTGCCTACCTTCTTTGAGATGGGTTTCTCATTTACCGAGAGCTCACCAATTAGGGTAGATCGTCCAGCCACTGTGCCACCCTGTGTTTCTGCCTCCCTGGTGTTGGGAGGACAAACACAGTTCACACACCCAAACTTTTTATGTGGGTCTCAGGGGTGCACCAGGTCTTCATGCTTGCAAGTCAGGTACTTTACCAGCTGAGGTGTCTCAGCCCCAGAAAACTTATCCTTGATACCATAGCAGATAGTGTAGGATACGACATCCTTGAAATAATGCAAATTCAAGTTTAAAGAAATGCAGTGGGGTTTGTTACATGTAAATGTTAGTGAAATGTTTACTGAAACCTTGAGATTTTAAATGCTCATAAAGTTTTATTTGTGCTTATGACAAACATTGTTATGTTTTAAAATCCTTTCATCCTCCTCTCCGAATCTTGCTTCAAAAGCTTTCCAAGAGGCTAATGGACAAAAAGTTCAAAGAGCCGATCACCAGCACCTTGCAGAAGCTGGAGCAACACGGCGGAAGTGTGAGTAGACGGTTTCCTCTTCCCTAATGGATTGTAGAGGGCGTGTTAGCCCATTTCAGCTGCAAGTAGGAACTGTGAAATGCAGGGCCTGTATTCCTCTTCAGAGCTAAGGATTGCTGTTTTCTGTGATGCAGCTCTAGTTTTTCTCTTGAAGCTATTTTATATTTTTGGATTGACCTTTGGCAAGTTCAGAAGGAAGGATGTCAAATTTAGAGAGCTTGACAACAAAGTACTTTTAACCTTTATTCTGATTTATTTCTGTATCTGTCTGGTACCAGGGAGAAATTCTAGGTCCTTGCGGCTGCTGAGCAGGCACTCCCTGAGCTACACTGGCCTTTCCATTTTCCCTTTAACTTGCCATGGTTTCTTTCTCTGAGTTTAAGAATCTCCTGTAGATGGAAATGACCCTTTCATATTACTGCATGTTGTCCAGTCAACATGCCACATAGGCACTCTATTAATAGAGTTCCATCAATTATTCTGACCTTTCAAGGGACAAGAATATGGGGAATTTATGACTGTAGGATGTTATCATTTGAAAGTGATTTGTATGTTCCTGATTTAGAAAGGTGTTCATATTAGAGTGTTTTGTCTGATTTTAATGATGAGTTACATGTAATTATCTTATCATTATAGAACTTAGTTTCATTTCAGTATTTCTAAAGAATTAAAGGAAATACCTGTGGGTGTATACAGTGTTATGATGGCTATTCCTAAATCATCTAATTTGCCTAATTTTAATAACTTCTAAAATTGATTTTAATATTTGTTTGCTGAACACAAAGTTTTTGATGAAGAATTAAGTCCCTAAGGGCTGTTAGAAAATGAATTTCTTTGTTGTATTTGAACCTGAGGCCAATGAGTATTGAGACACTGGTTGGGAAATGTACAGAACCAGCTCCCAGGCTGGCTGGTGTCCCCACTGAGCAGGATGAAGAACTTGCGTGTAAATGCCCGTGATAGTCTCCGCATCGGAATCCCAGGTGTATTTGCCCTTCTCTGCTTTGTGAAATGCAAGTGAACAGATGCTGAGTAATGATCACAGCTTGTTAATCTGAAACGTCCCCTGGTTGGGGACAAGAAAAAGCAGCAGGGCCATAATGTGAGATCTCATGGATGTCTGTATAGTGGAGCTGGGGTAGTTAGAATGGAAATACATTTTAGAAGCAGCATATTGTGAATTTTAGATGGACTGCAGAGGGTATAGTTGGCCGATTCAAGGTCCTGGAGAGAGGGGGCAGGGAGGGAAGGAGGGAGGGAGAGAGAGAGAGAGAGAGGAGAGAGGGAGCCTTTTATTGCTACTCACTCTTGTTAGCTTTGAATGTTGCTAATACAGAATTAAGACGAAGAGTTTGTAGTTACAGGGATCTTAGATAGTTTTCCTTTGTATATATTTTAGTAATAACGGTTGTGATTGCAGAAGAAAGTTTTCTGTTGAGATTATATCTACAGCATTCTTCTGACTTGATTATTACTGTGCTTGCTTTTGATATTTTGCTGTCCTTTGTGAATGTAAGGAACATTCCTTCTTCCTCTCCTAGAGTATGTAAGACTTAACCTAATGACGAGTACTCACCGAGTACATCTAAAGCACTGAACTCATTTAGTCTCCACGATAAGCTCTGAGGTAGACTTTGATGGCATCTTCCTTTAAAGATTAAGATACTGAGGTGCAGAGAAGTACTTAGCACAGGTCTGATAATGCGTAATGGGGAGAAGGCCTTTAAACGTTGCCCTGGCTCTGAGCTACTTCTCTAGACAAAACAGCTATCTACATTTTATTTAAGAACAAAGTTCCACTTTTTATTCCATAATTTTGATTTTTCCCTTGTATTCGAGTCATGGATACTTGCAAATGTTATTAAATGGTGTTACTGGAGTAACTCTGATTCTAATGTTGCTAATTTTCTTTTTTTTCCTGTTGTCAGGGAAGTCTTATCATCATCAAATCCAAAATACCAACATATTGCTCTGTATGCTGTTGAATAAGGGAGCCAGCAAATCTTCCTGCCCATAGGCGTCAAGCTCTGACTGCAGGTGCCCATGGAAACTGTATTCTATTTACTCTGAATCACAGGCAGCGTTTATTACTTACTAGGCTATTAGGAGTGTGTCCAGTCCAGTTGAAGCCTAGTACATGCTATTTATCAACTCAAAAGGACAGGTGATAATGGAAAGTAATTAAAATAACTTCTGTAACAGCTTAATTTTGTGAGTGTTTTTTTGTTTCCTCACTTTTTTGACATTTGTGTGAAGAACCATTATGAATTTCTATCATATGTATTTTCTGATACATTCTTGTTTATAACACCCATTTGAAGATTGTTTTTAGCTGTGCACTTATTTTATAGTGTTTTTTGACTATTAATTATCAAGACTGAAGAAATTTAAGATAGTAGGTAAATATTTGTGAATTCATTATTAACTCTAATGTGTAAATATGTATTTTATAATGCAGAATGCTTGGGAATATTTCTTTCCTGAGTAGTCTAGGTTAATCTTTTAAATGTGAGAAGTCTATTGAAAGTATGTTGTTTATTACAACTTGTTAAAACTGCCTAAACTTTAGGTATTAATTATATTTAAGTAAATGTTATTTTTGCATTTCATAGCCTGAAAATACTGATGTACATATACAGATACTCAGAAAATAAATCTTAATTCATTGATTTTCTAGTGCTTATTTGTATTTAATAGTTACTTGGTTTTTTCAAAAACATGATTTATAGACACAGCCTAGATATCTGATGTGCTCAAAGCTCCTCTAGGTCACTCTGTAAGAGGAAGGAGTAGGGGACGAGAAGGAGAAAATAGGAACGAGGCATCTGTCTTCTTGACAAGAACAGTGCTAGAGGACCTGAGTGGCCACAGCCCCAGGGCAGTGGAGCCTGACTTTGGAAAGCACAAGACAGGCAGCACTGGCATGTGGATGCAGCCGTCCTAGGCCCTGGGAGCCTGGGCCGTGAGGGCCTGGGTTGGCCTCTTTGCACTTTTCTTTCAGCTCGTCCTGCAGCTGTCGGTTGAAAGATTACAAGCCTTTCCGAGGAGCGGCACTGCAGAAATGCCCGTCCTCCAGCAGTTTGCTTCCTGGTCTGTCAGGCCCTCTCGTTCCTCAGGCCTCTAGTTCCTTGTCACATCCTTCCACCGTGCCAGCTACAGCAGCCTCCTGAGCCCTGGTCTCACTTTGGATTTTCTTCTTTGTGTGCTGTACTACCCCGAAATATCTACAATCTGGAACATTCTATAAGATAAGATAGTTTTAATCTAGTAATTACAAAACTTGTCAGAATATAAAGATTTATGACAGACAGTAGAGTAATAAACACTTTATTTTGCTTTTATTTTTTTCCTTTTTGAAATACAAAATGTGCACATTGAGTTGACACAGACACGCGGTGGCAGATTTCAGTGTACATGTACTGTACTACTCTTAATTTCTACACTGGTGATAGCAGGGCGGCTTCCAACATCCTATCTCTACACCAGAATAGATACCTGATTTATTGTTGCAGACAGTTGCAAATTTCCTCCTCCTGTAGCCTCTTGGTCCTTGTGATAGTTCTACAAAACAGGGAAGATGTGTATATCTATAGTACTGCAGTGGCGGCCTTACAGTTGTGGCTTAAGATTGCTAGAAGGAATCTGAATTGTTGGAATTTTATGATGCGCTAAATCATAATACGGTGCAGATGAATTGTTGATATTTTCTATGCAGTTTCAGTGACAGTTTTCAATATGATAGACTCACTGGAGCTTTCAAAATCTATTCTACTTAATGTTTGTCCTAGTAGGCTTTGGGGTAGTCAAGGCGTCTCTGTCCCTGAATGGCTTGTAATGAACATTGTGAGGACATTGAGGGGAAGGGCTGGACTTAGTGTTTACTGCTGTTAGGGTTGTTAATAAGCATTACTGTGTTGGAGGACAGACATCCTGACCCTTTGCTCGTCTGTAAACATCCTTGGTTTGTTTGACACCTTAAATTTCCACTTCATAACACAATACAAAACAGTCTACCTGTAAGACGGAATAGGTCCAGAGTTGCATTATGCAAGCCTTGGCTTTAATGTGGAAAATTAACAAATACCAAAATAAATTTCCATAGGCATCTGCTGACATTTGATAATAAACTCATTTTTGAAATGTTGTTAAGAATGCCAGATAAATTAATGTCTTTAAAAAAAGGTGGTGAATCCATAGCAACTGGGAGTGTACTTTTTGGATTTTTAATTGTAATAAATTTCCTTTTTTAGTGTTATATAAATGGAATGAAGTGAAAGTTAATTTGCTTTCTGAAAATTAAATGCAGATGTAAATAGTTTAGAAAACCATTTAAAATCCAAGGACCGAATACATACAAATGAGTAGGAAAAACCACTGGTATTTTAAAACCACTGACCTGTGAAAGCCTCATTATTAATCCATGGCTAAAGGAGCAAAACTATATGCCAGAGTCTATTCCTTTTGAATATTCACAGAGTATGAAATGAGTTAGCACATCTCATGAACTCGGTGACATTGTGGAAAAGATGCAGATTCATAACTGGAAAACTTAAACCTTGTGGGGATTGTTTTATATTAAAACAAAGCTCGTTTGCATAATATGCCTCAGTGTAAAGCTGAGCAACCTATGCTAGAAATGGTAGCTCCGACTTGTCAGCGTGGTGGAGTAGTTCACATTTGTCCGTTCGGATGGGGGTTATTTGACAAGTTAGATCACATTTTCGAAGAGCTGCATGGAGCGCATTATGTTTTCATCCTGTAATGCGGAAACAAAACCATTACATTCAGCATGTCTGCCTTGGAAAGTACCACTGTGCCCATAAGTGTGGCGGCTCCCCTCCCTCTGTGGAACGACCTGCTGTACCCTTAAGTGTGGCTGAGGCTCATGTGCTCTGTGGTAATAAATGTATCTGCTGATTGCTCTATCCTCCACATAGATGCCTTTTTGAGTTTGCCTTTAAATGTTTCATTTAAAGCTTAGTGCTGGACAAGAGTATTTCTCAAATCACAGTGTCAGGGTAGAAACAGTGAAGTTCAAGTCAAAGGCAGCAAATAGAACTTCAGTACTCCAGGCGCAGTGTGTGAATATGTAGGCTCCAGGACACAGGTAGTCGATGTTTGCAGCCATCTTACCTCTTTGGCTCTCAGTTATTGCCAAATCTGTGTGGTCTTTAGGAGTCTTTAAAATGGAAGTTTCTTGGTACCAGAGAAACCACTGCACCACGGCTGTGTTCAGCCTAACCTATTTCTTAGAAGTGAGTTACAGGAAGAGACTGGGCCATTGAGGAGCACTTGTAAATTGTGTGTGCATGCTGTTAGTGAGGACTGTGTATTGGTGAATGCTGTTTGTGAGCCGTGTGCATTGCTGGCCAGTGGCAGCTGGGCCACTCATGCTTCACCTCTTGAAGCATGGGCCGATGTCACCACTTTAATTCTCCGGGACCATGCCTTTGAAATGTGATTGCAGAAGCAAGCGGGGCGAGGAAAGTGCCGATGAGCAATTGGAAAAAAAGGGAGAGGTCCTCATGTTTATTTTGACAACTGAATTATGACTCTACCCAAACATACATCAAGTCAAATGGTTCTAGGTAAGCTAATTGTAGATTTCTGTATGGCATGTAACTGCCAGATTTCTCCCCAGATTTTTTCCCTCTTTATTTTTATAACTGAAAATAATTACTGGACTCAGCCAAAATGCCATTTCTTGCCCATGTACACTGAATCAATGATAATTCTCTTAAAAATCCTGATGACCTGAGTTTAATCCCTGGAACTCACTTGCTGGAATAAGGGACTCCACCCCTGCAAGTTGTCTTCTTGCCCCCACATATGTATGGAGGCACACTCCCATTCCCACATATGTATGGAGGCACACTCCCACTCCACATATGTATGGAGGCACATTCCCATTCCCACATATGTATGGAGGCACACTCCCATTCTCACATATGTATGGAGGCACACTCCCATTCTACATATGTATGGAGGCACACTCCCATTCCCACATATGTATGGAGGCACACTCCGCCTCCACACATGTATGCAGGCAAACTCCCACTCCACACATGTCTGGAGGCAAACTCCCCTTCTACATATGTTTGGAGGCCCCCCCCCATTCCACATATGAATGAAGGCACCTCCCATTCCCACCTATGTCTGAAGGACCACCCCCACTCCACATATGAATGGAGGCACACTCCGCCTCCACACATGTATGCAGGCAAACTCCCACTCCACACATGTCTGGAGGCAAACTCCCCTTCTACATATGTTTGGAGGCCCCCCCCCATTCCACATATGAATGAAGGCACCTCCCATTCCCACCTATGTCTGAAGGACCACCCCCACTCCACATATGAATGGAGGCACACTCCGCCTCCACACATGTATGCAGGCAAACTCCCACTCCACACATGTCTGGAGGCAAACTCCCCTTCTACATATGTTTGGAGGCCCCCCCCCATTCCACATATGAATGAAGGCACCTCCCATTCCCACCTATGTCTGAAGGACCACCCCCACTCCACATATGAATGGAGGCACACTCCGCCTCCACACATGTATGCAGGCAAACTCCCACTCCACACATGTCTGGAGGCAAACTCCCCTTCTACATATGTTTGGAGGCCCCCCCCCATTCCACATATGAATGAAGGCACCTCCCATTCCCACCTATGTCTGAAGGACCACCCCCACTCCACATATGAATGGAGGCACACTCCGCCTCCACACATGTATGCAGGCAAACTCCCACTCCACACATGTCTGGAGGCAAACTCCCCTTCTACATATGTTTGGAGGCCCCCCCCCATTCCACATATGAATGAAGGCACCTCCCATTCCCACCTATGTCTGAAGGACCACCCCCACTCCACATATGAATGGAGGCACACTCCGCCTCCACACATGTATGGAGGCACACTCCCACTCCACACATGTCTGGAGGCACACTCCCCTTCTACATATGTTTGGAGGCCCCCCCCCATTCCACATATGTATGGAGGCACACTCCCACTCCACATATGTATGGAGGTACACTCCCATTCCCATCCCCCACCAAAAAACTCCCACAAGTAAATGTAAAAAAAAATAGTTCAATATAGGCTTTCATGGTTTGCTGCTGTAGATATCTAATTCTATGGAGACATAATAAATAAATATATGTGTTATAAGTAAATGAAGTCTAAGAAAGATTAAAGTTTTGTTTTTTTAAAATCATGTGTATGTATGTCTACAGGTGCACTTGTGTTCAGGTTCCCACCGAGTCCGGAAGAAGGTATTGGGTCCCCTGGAGCTGAGTTTACAGGAGATTGTGAGCTGCCTGGTGTGGGTTCTAGGGTCTGAACTCTCAACTCCGGTCCTTTCCAAGAGCCGTATGTGCCCTTAACTCCTGAGCCGTCTCTTCAGCCCCAGGAAGAGTAATTCAAGTCTGTATGTGTCTGTTTGTTCCATGAGTGAATCCTCTCTAAAGGTTTTCAGAAGCAAAAACAGAGCATGAGCACTTCCTTCCTCGGGATGGGCACTCTGTCAAAATGACTGCATGCATTTGTAAATGTGCCTGTGCTCTGGTGCTGGGCCCACCTCTGTCGCAGAAGTACATGCATTTGATTTCTGTATCACCCAGAACTGGGTGTGCTCACTGTAGCTGACAATGGAAAGGACAGCTCTTGTCCTCACCTTTTGGCAGCTTTCGATGAACTCATCTATGGTAACGACCCCATCTTTATTTTTGTCCATTTTCTGTTGAGAAAGAAAAAGACATCTTACTGACGTATCTTTTGGTGGACTCTCCTGCATTCCATGGGCTCAAGAAGACAGCCCATTGGCTTAGTTATGTGGGGCGGCTAAGACCTGGGAGGAACTATTGATTTCCTACAATCCCCGGGTGAAATCACTGCAGATTGTGGCCTCCTCAGTGTAATGGGAAGCCTGAGTTCCCTAACATCCTGTGTTCTAACAAACATGACAGGACTCGGGCAATTTGCTGAAACTTACAGCCCTGATTTCTCATCTATTAAAATGAGATTCTTGAGAATTTAAAACCACATTAAAGTCTTGTAGGAACTACATGAAAACATTTGTACAACATGAGAATCGCTTCGTGTTCTATCTAGGAACTCATGACTGTTCAGTAAGTACAGGTGTCTGTTATAATAGATTCAAACCCCAAATTACGGAGTTAGTAAGGTGGTGTGCGTCCTGCTATTCCGTCATCATCTGTAAACAGCACTCTAGGCATTCTTTTTGGTAGGTCAAGGTACTTTGCCCTCCCTCCCTGACTGCTTTCATTCCCACCTGGAAAAACGTCTCCACGTGTTGTCGGGGAGCATCTTCCTTGAGGACAGGGTATGTGCATTTTCCCATCATGTCGTATATTGCTTTCATTATGTCCAGCATTTCCTGAAATGGAAAGGCACTCCTGTGAGGGTGCACATCAAGGCTGAGGAAACCAGTGCATAGCTTTTCCTTTTCTTTTTTTTTTCTTAAATTCTTTATGTCTTTTGTCCCAAAGGCAAAGCCAAAAAATATCCTTTGCAACAAAAGTAGCAGAATTAGAATGTCAGAATCAGTTGTGACTTCAGTTTCAAAATGAAGCAGATTCTAATGTATCTCACATGGTTGGGAAATAAACACTGCTTTAATGCTGCACAGACTGTTTTATTGAGCTCTTTCTTACACATTTATTATCAATTTCCATTTATTAGAAATAAATTATTTTTTAGCTAGAACTAAAATGAACAACTAATTACTTAAGCTCCTTAGGGTTTTTATTACTTTTTCCTATTGTGATGTTAACTCAAGGAGTTACATAAGAATGCAATTAAAATATTTTGATTAGGAGCTACCTTGACATTTCATTAACTTTTAAAGTAAAATGTAGTTCTTGCCATATCATTTTAATCTTATGAGAGGAAAAGTACTTAGACATTCAGATTTACTGTTTCACATAAAAATTGGGATTAGGCAGATGATACCATTGATGTATA